TATGTTAATAATTAAACAAAGAAGTATACATATAAATAGATATCTTCCATTATGCGAGAAATATTTTGAGTAACGTCTTTTCTACTTGCTTGTAAACAAGAAACTAACTTGTATTTGCCTTGTTTGTAGACAGTTTGCAGAATTCTTAGATACTGTTCGGAAATTTTTTTCACCTAATTTCTGTTACATTATTCTTTTTCCTTCGTTTAATCGTTAGCAAATGAATGTAAATCATTTTTCTTTGTACTAATAGTAAATGTTATATTTCTAAATATATTAATGTAAATATTATTTATTTACTAGCTTGTCTGGTGAAATTATACAATGCTAAATAAATTCTAATGAAGTATACGAAGACTGAGTGTAATTGTGATGGTTGTTTCTAAAATCCTTGCATTGAAAACTGAACTCCACATACCTATCAATATCTTCAACGGATACCAAAAATCGTATATTTTGTTTACTCTACGAAGGTAAGCTTCTTCTTTGCTTACTTTGTGTAACAAATTCATCAGGACATCCAGCCATGAATACAAATCTCCTCTTTTCTTTGTAAAACGAACAGCTTTCCTATCGTTGGAACGAACAGTTCAAGGTCTTTGGATTCAATTGATAATCCTGACCCCTGAATAACCAGAGAACGACTTTAGAACGTATTAACAAACATGGTTGTTTTACCTATAATGTAGCCATTATGATAATGTTCACGTGGGTGCAACGATAAATACTTGTTTTTTGAGTTATCGTCACCTTCGACCTCTACTCCTGTTTCCATTTCGTATCTTAACTCGAGCGAAACCAGAAAGAGAGAGAAAGGAAGAGATTATGATAATCTTCGAACGAAGAAAATAGAATTCTACGGAGGATCATGTTAGAGGTGGCCTTGATGATGACGATTGAACTTGCTTATAACTGTTGGACTTTAATTGGAAGTTGGAAGCTTTAATTAACTCCAATTTTTAGTTTCAAAAGTTTCAGTATTTGGTTTAGTAGCACTTTGGAGAATTTAGAATATTCAGAAATTTGGTAAATTACAATTTCTATATATTTTGTACATTAAATTTTTCAATATCGAGGTTTCAATATTCAAATTTTGTATATATCGTCCGCTTTATGCTAAAGCCATGAATGTGCAAAGTTTAACTTTTCGGGTAATGAAGTGGGCTAAACGTGACAAAAGGAGGAAGGGACAATCAAAAATTATTTCATAGTTACATATAAGTCTGGAGCAAAGATTAATATTTTTTTCGTTAAAATTTCGAATATTTTCATCTTCAGAATTATTTGATTACATTCAGTCGTGAATTTCGATAATTTTTATTCGTGGTATTAGCATAAGGAGGACGATATTATGTTTTAAGCAATTCTCAAACTTTGGGCTCCAGTGCTCTGTCAATTTTTTTTTAATTGTTTCAAAAAAAAAAAAAAAAATGGACCTTTTTCTATATTAGTAATGTACATAAATATGTGAGAAACGATGATGCGCTTTTTGATCACCATACGCCCTACAAAGTACGAAGAAACTTATTCAAATAGACAATGCAAGGCGTTACAATGGACGTATAAAAATACATAAGTATTTAAGTAATACTTTCTTGTGCCATTAAAACAGTTAAAAAATGAATAAATGTTTTACATAATCAATAATTATACAATTAATAAAAATACAAAATTCCACTTTTCCAACAATTTTTTAAGTGTAATCTCAGATTTAAAACAACCCCTTCAAATTCTATTTCTTTGAAATATATTAACACATTAAGCGCCATCGTGTAAAAAAAATGATGTTGCTTTTGGTCACTGTGTATTTGATGTTTTCTTTAAGTGCACAGTGCTTCAATTAAATAGTTTTACATGTAAATCGTTTATGTATTTTTATTTTCGACAGTTATATGTTCTAAATCTGAATTCTCTAAGTATAAGTTTGTATCATAAAAGTTAAATCTGTTATTTAATTACACCCTAAACACCCTACACACCCTAAACCTTTCCTCGTATAATCATATATTCAAGAACACAGGCAGCCGAATCTGAACGAAGGACACAGTATCCAAACTAATACAGGTGGCCCATTAAGCCGGAATGTATTGCATTCGTTTGGATATAAATGGCGCTTAACGTGTTAATTTATTAACTGAAACAGATCACACAAGATAGATATCGGATAAATAACTCGTGAAACACACCCCCGTGAAGCCCCTGAGAATTTCTCTTATGTTCATCTGTCGTCATTACGGCGTGTAGAAAGTTTTAATTGGGTAAGTTTGTAACTCTGGAAACACGATTGAACTTTCGGTTCGCGACGCCTCATCTTCGATTCATTATCGGGGAAGCAACCTTCGTGAAAATGTACAATTTCAACCTACACACTTTTCACATTCTCAGTACAATCGAAAAGTACAGGGAAAAAGAACGAGCGTTCGTTTGATCCTTTTTCCATAGAAATGCTTCATCCGAACTGTTAAAAAAGAAACGCTTCTAATGGAAAATATGCATGATCCTGAAACAAAATCGTTCCCTTAATCCTTCCTTCTTTTATTCTCCATTCGCACATCGCTTGCTCATTATTTTTCTATAAATATTCTGCAAGAAAACTCAATAAAAATGTAATTTTTAATATACTGGGTGTTCGGTTTAACTGGTAACGGTGGAATATCTCAGGAGGGATTGAAATTATGAATAAAATGTTCTTACAAAAGTTGTTCGGTGTATAGAAGGACATTAGGTGGAGTAGTGGGGAAGATATCAGTCAACTTAATTTTTTTAAATAGAACGCTATATTTTTCTATTCGTAATATTATAGCGTTTGTTGAGACGAATTCAACGAAGTGCCACGTTAGGTCATTTCGTTTTATGGAAATTGTAAAATCGTGGAGAATTTGTATTTGTAGCACAGTTAAGTAGAGTTTAGCTGGTCGAAAGCGTGCGACACGTGTTGATCTGACACTCCGATTTTTCACTACTTCACGGTATTTTCGTAAAACTAAATCATTTCGTGTGGCACATCGTTGTACACGTCTCGACAAACGCTACCACATTATGAATAAAGAAAATACAGGATTTGATTTAAAAAAATTAACTTGTCTTTGATCTCCCCCCGCTACTACACCTACAGAAAAATAATTTATACAACTTTTGTACGAACATTATTTTCACAGCTTCAATTCCTCGTGAGATATTCTACCGTTCTCGTTTAAATGTAACACTGTATTTTTTTCTACTGTACAATATGACCTTAAAATGACCTTGGATTTAAAAATTTTAAATCAAATGCGAAACTTTCATTTTTTGTTCGTTCTTCCTCGACTTCTTCGTTCGTTCTTTTCCAAAATACCGCTTTTCCGCTGACAACTAACACACTACATATATTATTAATTTAAACAAATTGACATTCTTCAAATCTGTTTACGCAGAGAAATTGATCTTTGAAAAAATTCGTCAATTTACACCATTCCACTGTATCTAATAATTTTCGAAATATAAGATCAAATATGTTTACTACCCCCACCTATAAATTCAATTTTCACACCTTCAGTATGGACAATTACTGATAAAAAAAAGTGTATCGAATCCTTTTTAAGGAATTGTACATATCAAAGTTTCATCAAAATCGGTGATTATCACTTCGAGATGTTCCCTTGTTAGGTCTTCCCTTTTCGTTCATATCTCTCTCCTTTTCTATTCTTTAATCAGATTTCCTTCGTAATCTCCTTTCTTGCTTTTATCCCTCTATAGACAAACATAGTTTCCGACATTCCGTAAGTCTAATTTTTTTACCGTTCTAGGCTTTAAAGAAATCCGAAAAAATTCCGAGGTACTTATCAAAGTCTCTGCTACATTATACAATTGTTCGTTAAGTCAGATGTTTTTTTCAATGAAAATAAAAATTCTTTTGGAAGAAATACAAGAGTGAAATTTGGCTCGGGTCACCAGTGACCCAGGTTACCAACCGTGGGTTAATAATCGTCCAGTTATCATTCAGTCCTGCAATCTCGTAGATAGCAAACTAAAATCTTGTTGTATCCATTATCAGCATTAAACACGAACAATTTGTAAAGTTTTCCTATGTTCGTCCTAAAATGATACCAACTTGACTCGAAGATTTCGAAGTTTCTGCCATCTCCTCGCGAGTCCAGAAACTTTTGTCACACACTGTAGAAACGGGCAGTGTTAACTTATCGACACGTAGCTCTCGATGGCAATTAAAGCAAAACATAGAACCAGTTGAAGTGGTCAGCGGTAAGAAGTGAGTACGAGTAGTCGTAGATAGAGGAAGCTAACGAAAGTAAAAGGCAAAGAGCATCGAGCAGATTACAACGGATTAGCTACGAAGATCGTTTTATCATGCGTCCACTAGCTTGTGGCAAGTGATGATCTGAAGTTTTTCAAGCGACTCACGTGCAACGTGCGACACTTAATCGGTCGATGACGTCCATTGCGTAGAAACATGGGTTGCCTCTTAATCAATTAAGGCTAAGATAACAAACGAGAACGCGGGCAAAGTCTTGCAGAAATATGATTGATGAGCACGATACTACTCTCTCTTCTATGCTGATCGTTTCTTCCTCTCCATAGGAGCA